ATTAATTTATAGTCGGTATACACACTAGTGGGCAATCTGCATGTGGCAAGTTAGTGAGGTGTGATTGAGATCATGGCTTATTTTATTTTAAAAAATTCATCGATTTTAGAGAAAGAGAGGGAGAGGAATAAAGTGAAACATCAATTTGTTGTTCCACTCATTTATTCATTCCTTGGTTGATTCTAGTGCAGACCCTGACCAGGGATCAAACCCCAAACCTTGGCGTGTCGGATGACGCTCTAACGAATTGAGCCGACCAGACAGGGCCCAGATCACTGTTTTTTTTAAATAAAAAGCATGCTGAGGACTCTCTGTCTCATTTTCTCATTTATATCTTAGCATAAACCCAACCTGCCTAGATTTGTTATGTCTAGGTCTTTGGAATTAAATTAAAGGGTAGGTTAGAAACCAAGTTAATAGGTAGATAGTGCTCAGGCAGACATACCTTTAACCAAAGGTCTTTTTTTTCTCATCTGGGAAGGAGAATAACTTTCTGTTTCTCCCCCTCTCATTCTGTCTTTCTTTTATTTCAATTTCAGGCACATGGAGTCACACACCTTGCAAGCCTCGCTGATGGAACTCACCTGCCACATCTGTAAGAACTACTTCCTAGACCTGGTCACCTTATACTATGGGCACAGCTTTCGCTATCCCTGCCTGTGCCTCAGCTGGGATGCAGCCCAGATTCCAATGCGCTGCCATTATTGCACACAAGTTCCAGAGAAGCCAGATTTCAATACCGATATCCCAGTCAGGACCCTGGCTTTCCTAGCCAGACAGGCCAGAGCTGATTCTGTCAACAGTTCTGAGGAAGAGATCTCTGTGGCACAGGATGCAGCAAAGGGGCTCTTCTGTGAATTTGAAAAGAAATTGTTCTGTGGGCTCTGCTCTGAATCCCTGGACCATGCGGCTCACAGCCACAGCCCAGCACAAGGGGCTGCTGAGGAATCCTGGGTAAGTGGTGCCTCTCATGCAATTTGGTAGATGTAGACTCCTAAGTGAGAGAAAGGTGAGAGAAAGGTGAGGATGATGAAAAGGAAATTGATTGATGATAATGGAGCTGGTGGAACTGGTGATGTTTCAATGCAAAATTCCAAATTATAAGTGTATCCGGGCAATGCTGTTGGTCACCTTGGACACTATAATCAGAGCTGTGTTTACCTTTTACTATGGTAGATTTCTTTAGATATTTTGTTCAAATATGTAGGATTGGTGCTATTGTGGGGCAGCTGGCTAGCACCAGGAACGCTGGCTTCTGATGCAAGTTTGTCTTCTTCATAGTCAGGATAGATAAAAATCTGGGTGCCAATTTCTCAAGAAATGGTCTGTAAGGTCCTCCCTAAACTTCTGATTATATGTCTCTGTCACATCTGATGATCCAAATATAGGAATCAAATCAGATTAATGTGAAAAGATCAGACCTCTTCATTCTAACTCAGGGTGACAGTGCTTTCAAATCTGCCTTTAACCATAAAAAAGAGGATAAAATTTACAATAAC